CTTGGAGCTTGTGAGTCTGGAGAAGGGACAACCCATTATAAAATCAAGTCCTCTAAGAAGACTCTGCCCACAGCTGCAAGATGGAATTCTCAGAGTGGGTGGGAGACTCAGTAGATCATTGATGCCGGTTGAGGTGAAACATCCCATAATACTAGCAAAGGATCAACACATTTCCGAGCTCTTGCTTAGACACATACATCAGGAAGTTGGACATGGTGGTCGTAACCACATGCTGTCTAAGCTAAGAGAAAAGTACTGGTTGATTGGAGCTAGTACAGCAATAAGAAAAGTGTTATCTAAATGTGTCATCTGTCGACGTCTTAATGCTCCACCAGTGAATCAACAGATGGCGGATTTGCCCAATGAAAGAATCATTCCAGATGAACCTCCATTCACGCGGGTGGGAGTGGATTACTTCGGACCCTTCAGTGTAAAAAGTAGGAGGAGCGTGGTGAAGAGATACGGTGTTATATTCACCTGCCTTGCTATCCGTGCTGTTCACATTGAGGTTGCTCCATCACTGGATACTGACTCTTTCATTAATGCGTTCAGACGTTTCAATGCAAGAAGAGGTCAGGTTCGAGAACTGCGTTCTGACAACGGAACCAATTTTGTAGGTGCTGAACGTGAACTTAGAACTGCCATTGAACATTGGAACCAGGTAAAAATCAATGACGTCTTTCTGCAAAAGGGAGTTAAATGGACCTTTAATCCACCTGGAGGTTCACATCACGGAGGAACCTGGGAGCGACTGATAAGACTGGTTCGCAAAGTACTTAATTCCATAATGAAAGTACAAAACCTGGATGAAGAAGGTCTTCATACTGTACTTTGTGAGGTTGAAGCCATCATTAACAGCCGCCCAATTACCAAAGCCTCAATGGATCCTAACGACCTGGAAGCTTTGACCCCTAATCATCTTCTTCTGTTAAAGACCTCACCGATATTACCACCAGGAGTATTCCATTCCACTGATATGTACACACACAGAAGATGGAAACAAGTCCAATACATGTCTGACTTGTTTTGGAAAAGATGGGTGAAGGAATACCTACTACAGCAACAGGAACGTCAGCGATGGATTGGAGTAAAAAGGAACCTCATCGTGGGAGATCTGGTTCTCATCATGGACAGTTCGGCACCTCGAAACTCTTGGCCAATGGGACGTGTGATAAAGACTTTTCCTGACCGAAGAGGATTCGTTCGTCAAGTTCGGATTAAAACTCAGACTAGTTGCCTGGATCGACCTATTACCAAACTGTGTCTACTGCTGGAGGCAGATCACAGTTAAAGACTTCTGGGTCCAATTATCAGACTTTGATTGTATTTGGACATAAAATGTCTCTCATTTTTTTTCTTTAAAGATAGACTTTAAGATTACCTATAGGATTCCTGCGGGTAATATTGAAATACAGTAAATGCTTGACTTTTCTCTGCATGTTTTATGTCTCCTACTTGGTTAATTATGGGTAATTATTAGAAGGGATCCTAATAATTAGGGGCTGGTGTGTAGGAGCCATAATTGAATGTATTGAATTTTGATGATCACTGGGTTTTTTATTTGTTTGGTTGTTATGGGAGTCACGTGGGTGCTAGCGGTGACATAAATGGGCGTTGTCAGTCTGTCATTCACTGGTTTTGATTTTGACAGAGAGGAGGGCTGGGTAGCCGTAGTTTTTGTTGACCGCTGCACAACATGTTTCGCTTCGTTATATTAGAGCCTGTGACGTTGTAAGAGTCTGAATCGGGATCCGATGACATTACTCTGTAAACTCTCAAAGCACTTTAATAAACAAGCAAACAATTCCACCTCTCGCATTATTGCGTAAAGTTGACAGCGCGTCAGGCAAATAGGCAGGCTCCATCCCCGGCCTCTAGCGACTGTGGAAGTCGCTACAATTCTCCATTTTCAGTTTACGATCAATTCTACCCCCAGGTCGAAATTATGTGCAAGAAAATTGACCTAATATAATATTATTAAGCACACCTGTCCAGACCTCACAGCACAAGCATACTTCATAGTGTGTTGTACATTATTATATGTATATAAAATGTATTTTTCATCTATTGCGTTTACCAACATCAAGTAGTCACAAGCAAAGAAAGACCACACCATGGTAAATGTTTAAACAAGGAAAGTATTGATAAAAATTATTTAAAAAATAAACATAACAATTTTCAAAGCTGTTCAAAGCAACACAACAGTGGGCCAATGTCAAACAAAATTGTGAACTTCACTTTGTAGAGTGGGCAGTCATAATGAAGCAGTACACTTTCATTTGAAAATTCAAGCTGCGCTTCATATTTTTGGTAGCCAGATAGAAAGCTTTATTTGGCCATCACTGGCCAACAGTAATATTGTAATGTTCTTCCATATTTAACATTTGCACATAAATAAGTGAGATAATATTTTATGCTTTTTTTGAAAAGTTTCTTCACCACAGTTCTGCCATCCGCCGCTTTTGTTAGAAAAAATTGGCCACAGCCACTGCGCTATGAATTCTGGGATATGTTGGGCCACAAGTGATACACCCAACCCATTCTTCAAATCTGGGGAAATGAAGGGCGCATTTTCGGCTGCATTTCGAATTGGGACAGGCTTCATCATGTTGGCGTGACGTAATCACCCTTCAAATTGGGTCTTGAAGAATGCAGACACTGAATTGGAACAGTTATTTTGGCGGAAGAAAATGTGAAAGAGGAACATCACATGGAGACACTTTAAGGCTGGAAATTAAAACACTAACATGAAAAATAAACATAACAACTTGATACTGTCACTAGGTTAAGAATAAAGGAGTGTTCAAAAGAAATCATCAGTATCAAACTGTGACAATAAAAAATGTTCATTAAAACAACCAAGAATGGGATAAGTTTGATGTGAATCTTTGGTAATGCATAGGGGAAGCTCTGTGCCAGTTTTATCATACTGTACCTCCCTCCATCCAACCATACACCTCTTTGGGTTTGCCATCAGCCCTCCCTGCCTCACGGACTCCGTGACCATGACCAACCACTGCACATGATCCACCGAGGTATAACTATGAATGACAACATCATCCAGGTAGGAATTAGGATATGCAGTGTGAGGACGCAGCTATCGCTCCAGCACGTGCTGGAAAATGGCCGCGGCTTCAAACAAGCCAAACAGAAGAGTGATGAATGGCATGAACCATACAGAGTGGAGAAGGTCTTTTTTGTCTTTGGACTCTGCAGACAAGGGAATCTGCCAGTAGGCGTTGGTTAAATCCAGCATGATAAAAGCTAAGCAGTGCTTAACCAGTCCAGGTCAACCTGGGGCATGGGATAAGCATAAAACCATGAGATCTTGTTTACTTTGTGATAATCATCACAGAACCCTATAAAACCGTGCGCTCACTTCTTAATTACCTGGAAGCACCTTAAAGACAACTGGCCCCTCTCAACAGCTGCGACAAATCATCTGGAGAAAAGGTAAGCATAGGAGACCAAACACTGAGGAACAAATCCTCATTTCATCCTGTGATAACAGCATTTTCACCATTTCAGCCAATTCCTTTTGCACAATTTGTCTCTTGTGCTCAGGCAACATGTTAGGTCATGAACAGACGCCAGGCTGCGTTTCAAGGTGGTGCTCCAGCCGGGCAGGGGGTAGAACACATCTGCAAACCGCTGTTGCAATGCAGGAACATCTGCTTTGTGTGAGATGTTCATTACAATGAATGTTAAACACACTCTCTGAAAACTTCATGCCCACATCTTGTTTTTAAGAAAAATCAAACATCTTTGTCCTTAAAGATAATTTTAGAGTTTTTAATGAGCTGCAGGAACCCTGTTCTGTGTGAGTGGAGAACAGCCAAGTCTCCTCCAGTGATAAACCTCCACATGTACCACTGAAAACAGTTAAACTACTTTGAATCTGAAATCAGGGCTCAAACTACTTGTTGTGAGACCATTTCTTTATTTTTCACACCAAACTGTTTATTAAGAAAAACGTTACACAGACTTCATCAAATATAGGATCAAATCAAATCACGATTTCATAATACAAACTTCAAATCAACAAGAAAACAGCTGCAGAACATGTGGAAATGAAATGAATTCATTAAAAAACAACATGTGGACTTCAAGAACACAGTAAACACACTAAAGTGAAAGGAGGAGCCAAAAATAGAGGTTTAGTAGAATTTTTGAATTTGTAACATTTCTTTGCTGCCAATGTGAATATGAATGTGGTCTTTGCCTAATTGAATAAAGGTTACACAGCCTCACTGCTCTATCTTCTGGTACAAACTGGTATTACATGGAAGTACAGCCCAAAACCAGTTTAGCTTGAGTTTCTTTTTTCAGGACATAAAGTCAGAACAGATGTTGTTTCAAAGCTGGTGGACAGATAAGAGCAACAGATTTAAGAGATTTAAGACAGATTTAAGAGCAACTGTTGTGAAATTATTTGCAGTTTGGGGAGAAAAGGATTTAAGAGAAGATTTTACAACAGCAAAAGATTAAATATGAATGAAGAATTTAAATTTAACTGAGGTAACACATTAAATGAATACATTACAAAAGAAGTTAATTTTGGAAACACTAAGAAAGCTCAAATGAAAGAAATTGATATATGAAACCATATCTGCAATTCTGATACAATATCAGTTTGGTAAAAACGACATTCCAAATGAACAATATTTGTCTCTTATATATGATCCACTCATATTTGATACATCTATACGTATTTATACTCTGTAAAAGACAAGCATCGCACTTCCGGCCTTAGCGGTCTTTGAGTACGCGGCCCTTGAGGACCGTTAAGGTTGCAGAACCTGAATTGGGATACAGCCTAAGGCTGTTCCAATTCTCAGCACTGCTCCTCTCTTTCCCTGAGTCCTTAACAATTCTCCTTCCCACGATGACGTTTTCATCGAGGCCAAAGAAAAGAGTTTAGGAAAAGGAGATTTCGAAATTACACCCCACGTGGTCACGTTGTGCAGCTGAGTCACGTGACCGCACAGTAACATATCACCACAGAGCCAGGAAAAGGGGGCGGAGAAAGTGTGTGTGCGCAGGAGAGGAGTCGAGCAGAGAGAGCTGCTTTTTTATGAAACGGTTGTAAAGTAGTAAACTTACAGGAACATATGCCACTACCAACGTTTGGATCGATATCTGCATCTATCTGCACACCCTTGTCTCCTGGATCCTAGCTGAGATCAGCGTGAACCACGTGGGTCTCTGCTCTCTGATCTGTTTCCTGTGTTTGGAAAGAGTTCCAGCTTCATCACGGAGTTTCTCTCGGTTTGTGGGCTCGTGTAAAGGTAAGCATCGAGCTAACTTTAATGCAGACTGTAGAGTTTGTGATTGCTTGCAACATCATAATATGGCGGTTGCTGGGGGGAAAGAATACATAAAGAAAAATAGTCTTGGAATATGAACAAAGGATGGGGTGCAGGGCATGAGAACAACCAACCCCCACCCTCAGGACATGAAGCCACAGGTACAAGCGTGGGGGAGGGCAATCAGCCTTTAGAATTGACTATGTGCACGTTAGCATATGCTACTTCCGGTGTGGAAACTCCCGTGGGGAGCTTTGTTTCCGGTGTCCTATTCGCGCCTGGTTTAAGGTCCAAAACAAGTTGATGAATGAATCAAGCGGCGATTTACATTTCTATACATGTCTTGGGCATTTACCCAATATATCTGTAAATGATGTCTGTGAAGGTTCTCAGTCATCCAGGTCATCGGTCCTTTTGTCCCTCTGTGGGGGGTTACTCCCACTAGGTTTATATCTGGGACTCACCATTTGACCTTAGAACTGAAGAAGTTTCTCGGATGAGAGGTGAAACTTATTCAACTAACTTAAAGAAGTCCAGACACTTTTCTTTGCAAGTTCCTTTGACTATCTGTAAATGATGTTCATCGACTTGTCGATGTTTTTTCCCCGCGCCTCAGAGCAAAAGAGAAAAGGAATTCAAATGTTATATTTCTCAACTGTCCCTCATTTATCGCGGGTGTTATGTTCTAAAAATAACCAGCGATAGATGAAATCAAGTAGCCAATTTTATTTTTGACGGTGCAAAAAGTTTGGTGGACATCGTGGACATACAGTACTTCAGACTTCAGAGTCACGATGCAGCGATTCTGTACTGTACAGGAGAGACGTCACGGAGGAGATCGTCTGCAGCAATCAGGACGCAGGACACAATGTGACGTAAAAAAAAGTGCAAACTTGCACTAAAAAATCCGTGAAAAAGCGAGGTGAAAAGTGAACCGCGTTATAGCGAGGGACCGCTGTAATTTTGAAGGTAAGTCACAACATACCCTTCGTAAATACTAATGTATAGAAACCGTTACCAGCAATCATTCATTTTTTGTGTGGCTTTTTTCACGGTTTGTTAACATGCTGTGTAGGTGTGTACTTGACTAGCTGATATCGACATAACGGGGGAAACATCTGGTTTGACTATTCTTCACCTGTAGTTTGAATGCTGAACATTTGCCTGTTTAAATCATAAGACCAGTCACTATACAGAGATGTGCTTCTGAATGTGGACGATGTGTCTTCTGCTGCAGTAATGCAGTTCTGCTTGTGTTGAGTGATGTAAACAACTGATCGATCTAAACTCTTTAAACGTCAAAATTGATCATTAGATTTTTTATGACACAACAGTGGTGAGTGTTCCCACCTTCTGCTCTTTGTAACTTAACGCAATCTTTCCGTTTTCGAGTTTTGGACATGATTTTGGAGTATATCTTCGCAGTAGCGATTGACCGCAAAGTAAAGCTACCGGAAATGCACAACCCCACATCCGGTCTCAAACCAGGAAGTTAGCATTGTCTCGTGCACATAGTCAATTAGACTCATAATACACAGCATTAAAAAGAAACACAAAAAATAGCTTTATATATCATATATATATATATATATATAATATATATATATATATATAAATATATACACACACACACAACACGCACACACACAACAGCAGCACAAGAACAAGCTCTGAGTACAAGATCCATAGAGGCTGGGGTCTATCACACCAGGCAAGACCCCAGGTGCAGGCTGTGTAAAGATGCCCCAGAGACAATCCAGCACATAACAGCAGGGTGCAAGATGCTAGCAGGCAAGGCATACATGGAACGCCATAACCAAGTGGCCGGCATAGTGTACAGGAACATCTGTGCCGAGTATAACCTGGAAGTCCCGAGGTCAAAATGGGAGATGCCCCCAAGGGTGGTGGAGAATGACCGAGCTAAGATCCTGTGGGACTTCCAGATACAGACGGACAAAATGGTGGTGGCTAACCAACCGGACATAGTGGTGGTAGACAAACAGAAGAAGACGGCCGTAGTGATCGATGTAGCGGTTCCGAATGACAGCAATATCAGGAAGAAGGAACACGAGAAGCTGGAGAAATACCAAGGGCTCAGAGAAGAGCTCGAGAGGATGTGGAGGGTGAAGGTAATGGTGGTCCCCGTGGTAATCGGAGCACTAGGTGCGGTGACTCCCAAGCTAGGCGAGTGGCTCCAGCAGATCCCAGAGAAATAATATGGATATTGAGTGTGTGTGTGTGTGTGTGTGTGTGGTGTGTGGGGTGTTGTGTGTGTGTGTGTGTGTGTGTGTATATGTTTTTGTGTCCCAGCTGAATAACAGGAGTAGTCTGCTGGAGCAGCAGAGGAACAATTTTGGACTCAGCTCAGCCACTACAGAGGAAAGAATGTCTTCAACACAAAAGGTAACAAAAACATCACAGTTACACTGTTATTGAAACTGTGTGCTCAGCTGGTTGGTTTTTAAAAACATGTTAACAGCAGCTTTGTCTTTTCCATCCTGGGCTCCTCCATATACACAGAATCTACATTCACAACCAAAAACCACACAAGTTAGAAGAAAATACAAAGATTATATTTTATAAGCATACATTGAAACAACAATATCATCAGTTGAACTCAAGTAAAAGATTTTCTCCGCTGATCAATATTTTTTCAATAATGTAATTTTCATTACAACTCTCATTGTAGCACATCATTGTAATGTGATACTGTCACCAGAAGGTCGTGGAAACACACCAACAATGTGTTTTTTTGACATGTTTGATTCCACCAATGGAGGGAGTTTCAGTTTGTTCCACGACTGCATTTCACTCACTGCCTCTGTTTGTATCTCTGTCACTGCAGGACCAACATGGAGCGAGAAGTCAGCGCTCTCAGGAGGCCGACAAACCTCACAGAAGAAAGGGAGAGAAAACCTACAGCTGTGATGAGTGTGGAAAGTCTTTTACCCACTCTGGACACTTAAAAATACACCAACTCATCCACAGTGGAGTTAAACCGTATAGCTGTGACTTGTGTGGAAAGTCTTTTACCGAGGCTGGATCCTTAAAAAAACACCAAGTCATCCACAGTGGAGTTAAACCTTATAGCTGTGAGTTGTGTGGAAAGTCTTTTACTCAGTCTGGAGGCTTAAAAACACACCAACTCATCCACAGTGGAGTTAAAGCTCACAGCTGTGACTTGTGTGGAAAGTCTTTTACCCAGGCTGGAGAATTAAAAACACACAGACTCGTCCACACTGGATTTAAAGCGTACAACTGTCACTTGTGTGGAAAGTCTTTTACCCACGCTCAAAGCTTTAAAACACACCAACTCATCCACAGTGGAGTTAAACCTTACAGCTGCAACTTGTGTGGAAAGTCTTTTACCCATCGTAAATGCTTAAAATTACACCATATCATGCACAGTGGAGTTAAAGCACACAGCTGTGATTTGTGTGGCAAGACGTTTGCTCAAAATAGCAGCTTACAGAAGCATCTAGTTACCCACTCTGGAATTAAGGCGTACAGCTGCGACTTTTGTGGAAAAAGGTTCAGAGACAAACAGTACCGAAATAGTCACCTACGGATTCACACTGGAAATGATCTTTACTGCTGTGATCAGTGTGGGAAACCGTTTACAACAGATGCACAGCTACAACAACACATGTTTAGCCACACTGAGGAGAGACCTTACAAATGTGACCTGTGTGAGAAGACTTTTAAAGCTCCAAATCAGCTGAAAAAGCACCAACAGATCCACACCAGAAAGTAACTCTACAAGTGCAGTTACTGTGAGGATGTATTGATTTTTTATCTTGTAATTTTAACCTGATTGTTTGCAAAAAGTCTGATCAGTAAACTTATGGAGTTATACTGAATGAACTGTTTGGAAAAATGAAGACTCATTTTCTCTCAGTAAGCTGAGTGTTATAATGTAAACAGTAAAATGTAATTGGACGTTGGCAGAGATGCTCTTTGTTTCAGGCGACTTTCAGGATAAAAACATTGAAGGAATTCCCCGACTTACAATGTCTTTGCTTAGAATCAGAGCGACGCAGATGGATCCAGTTCTCAGCCCTGTCTTCACTGTGGTGGTGGGAAAGTTTCTCTGTGAATTTGTGGAAAAACTTCCAATCATCAACGGGACCTAAAA